AGTTACAGACTAACTCAACTATCCCTCTGAAGGTTTCTGGAGTCTGTGCAGCACCTGTCACAATGACACCCTGTTGCTACTTTCATTCAAATATAGTATACGGAAGGTGCAGCGTGCAGCTCAGGTTTTTTTACTGTTTTATTGGTAAGTAAGGTGATCTTTGTTAAAAACAAGTGTTAATTATTCTTATATACTAATGGAAAATATTGCATTACTAGAAGCAGTAGTATCTTATTTAACAGTAAAAAAGGCAAACTTCAACCAATTTACAGTGCAATATATCAATAATAGCCATAAAAAAGGCTGTTATCATCTTGACTTTTATAATAGGTGGCTAATGAAAAAGGCTATCATCTTGACTTTTATAATAGGTGGCTAATAATCAAGGGTAATTAATAAAGAAAACTCTCTCAGGATTTCAGGGGCTGATAGATCAGGGTAAGGAGCCACAATTAGCATAGGTTTCATTGTATTTAAAACTAATTAGATTATATTTTAATAAATTGTTTGAATTTGGGAAAATATATTAAATAAACTATAATAGAACTGAATATTCATATTTCATTCATTTTTCTAATAAAACATTTTTAATTGTTTCACTGTCATAAACAGTGTGATAATGATACATATATTCCAAGGCTAGACTAGACTATTGTGATCAACTATTTTGACCCTCTTGCTCATGAGTCATAGAACGGCCCCCAAATAACTCTTTATGCATATATTTTACACAAACATCCAATCTTGATTTAAAAGCTGATAGTGATGGGAAATCCACAATGACCCTGAAAAATTGTTTTGATGGTCAATTATTCTCACTATTGAAAATGTACACCTGACTTTCAATCTGAATTTGCCTAGATTCAATTTCCAGACACTGAATCATGTTATGCCTTTCTCTGTGAACGTGAAGGACCCACTATTAAATATTTGCTCTTCTTGTAGGTATGGCTAATTAATTAAAATAAGGCATGCCTTATTGTCTGATACAGGAGTCATCTCTACAGGAGCAGAATACTGATCCTAGGAGAGGATTGTGTTCTGGTGGAAGTACTGAACTGGGCATTAGTGCACCTTGGTTCTATTCTGCACTATGCTATATATTTCCTGTGTAATTTTGGGCAAGTCTATTAATAGCTTTGGGTATGTCTACACTACCACCCGAGTTCGAACTAGGGTGGTAATATAGGCAACCGGAGTTGCAAATGAAGCCTGGGATTAGCCGGGTGCCGCCATTTTTAAATGTCCGCTAGTGCGGACTCCGTGCCGCGCGGCTACACGCGGCATGGACTAGGTAGTTCGGACTCCTCGTGAAACTAGGAAGCTTAGTCTGAACTACCTAGCGGACATTTAAAAATGGCGGCGCCCGGCTTTATGCAAATGAAGCCTGGGAAATTCAAATCCTGGGCTTCATTTGCAACTCCGGTTGCCTACATTACCACCTTAGTTCGAACTAGGGTGGTAGTGTAGATATACCCCCTGTGTCACAGCTCCAAAACTACGATAATACTTCTTTTGTCTGCAAATAATATCAATTATTTAATGCATGGATTGTCTCTTACAATTTCAGTGCCTACCACAATGTTTGGGATTCCAACGGTATAATAATAGTGCTCTGTACTTTCACTAGCTGCTGATTACACTCAATTCTTGCTAAGTTAAAAGCAGTTCTATTTTAGCACTGACCCTAGCCAATCCCTAGAGATTAACTACATACACATTAACCCATTCCCTACCTATGGCACAAAACAGTAAGGCTACATCTAGACTGCAAGCCTCTTTTGAAAGAGGCTTTTTTGAAAGATACTTTTGAAAAAGCTTCTTTCAAAAAAGAGCATCTAGACTGCAACCTCTTCTTTCAAAAAAGTGAGCCGCTTTTTCGAAAGAGAGCACCCAAGCAGTCTGGATGCTCTCTTTTAAAAAAGCCCTGTTTGCATTCAAGAACGCCTTTTTTCGAAAGAGAACTTTCAAAAAAAGGTGTTCTTCCTCGTGAAATGAGGAGTATTGCAGTCGAAAGAAAAGCCGTGTTCTTTCGATTTAATTTCGAAAGAACATGGCTGTAGTCTAGACACAGGTGAAGTTTTTTCAAAAAAAGGCTACTTTTTTCAAAAAACCCTGCAGTCTAGACACAGCTTAAGGGGAAACATATAGTCACATTTTATATACATTATAAACATTGGAAAAAATGTATAGTGTTCTTTAGAAAAGTTTTTGAAGAAACAAAATTATCTTTATTATGCAATAAGTTATTCTAAACTGAAATTACATAGATTGAATGTTTATCTCTTATATGCCTTTCAAAGGAGTCCACAGAAGCTTGTCTACTCTCATCCAGGTTTTAGCAAGTGACATAAAAAAAATCACAGTGCTTTCAAATCAGAGTGAATGACATCGGTTCTCAACTATGAAGGAAAAAAAAAGAGAATATAGCAGTACTGCATATTTAATTGAAATCTATTGCCAATCAACAGGCATGATAACTAGTGTTTAAAAATAGTAGTTGCTTTCTATATTATTTTTCACACAGCCAAATCCAGCATCTGATTCCAAAACTCTAGTACACACATCCCATAGAAACTCTGTGGTGTAAAAAATCTTTTACTATGATCTAAAGTTGTTCTAGCTGTGAGGCATCCAGATAGAATTTGTGTCTTTTATAGTCACTTCCTTTCTAAAGGAAAAATCAATGACACTTTTATTTATACCCAGTGATAATAAATACATTTATGTCTGCTGCTTTAACTAGTTGCACACATACTTTAAATTTTTTCAAATCATTTTATACAAAAATCTAAAATACCTCTCTAAAAAACTAAACAGATGGTGTTTTGAAGGTTCATATCAGGTATCTGGTGTGAATCCTACATTAGCATTCTCTAAAAATTTCAGAGATAGCTTAGCTTTATCTTTTAAAATATTCAGATAGACTTAACCCCAGCTATACTCAAAAGAAACCAATTAACTATTAATTTAGTCAGTCTCACCAATTGGCTGAAATGTGATGTTTGCGTGAACTACGGACCCCGAAATAACACTTACATTTCTTTATTTGACTATACTTGGCGCACTTTCAGTAATTTACTTTGTATAAAAGCTCTCACATTCTCTGCTGGGAAAAGATCAAATTGCAGAGTGCAATAAATATGCCCCTTTCAGCAATAAGGAATTTTGGTTCATCATCTGCAAATTAGTAAGTATGCCTGCTGTAAAAACTACTGTGATTGTTTGTGAGAGCAGTATGATAGGTATTATAAGTATATTAAATGTGTGTCACTTTTTATGCTGGACTTCCCATTATCGGACAGAAGCACTCTGTGAAAATCTAGACTCAGTAACTTTATTCTCAATCAATAAAACATGTATTTAAGAAAGACAATATGAAGGCTGCTGAGCTAAGGGTTGCTTTAAGTACTAGCATAAAAAGTTTTAAATTCTTATGAATGTGCATAAAGGCACATGAAACTTTAGAAAATTATTCACTTAGATTGTAGAGTAGTATATATTTTGAATATTGCAATGATTTCAATACAAGCTTTTGTCTTAGTTTCATTTCAGATTTTAATATAGAATCTTGATTTATGCTTCATTATCACTATTTTCATTTTCATTTGTATTCAATTTAGACAATATTTTAAAGAATCAACAAAATATGTGAGAAAAAGCAACAGAAAGCAAGAAGGGGGTATATCTAATTGTACTTCTTCTGTACTAGAAGTCCCGCACAATAAGGCCTATAGTCAATAACTACATAGTGCTGTAAGAAAGATAAAGTTTTTGAAGACTTCCTTCTTAAGTAGTATATCTGCCTCAAAATGCATAAAATGTAGTTATATCACAAGCACTAATGATATATGAAGAATACATTTGTATGAAGACAATTCTTTATATTACTGCACAATCATAAGAAAAATGCATCAAGTCCCTAATGAAATGATGTCATGAAACCGATATGCCCTATCCAGTGAATGTACAAAACAGAAAATAACAAAATGCTGCATTATAGATATAGTAGGAGATTTGGCTGTTATCATCTAAAGCCAAACATAATACTTAAAGATGGAAAACAAGAGGTAATGACCATAACGAGAATCTAGCATCTGTCTTTGTGTAAATAAAATCAGGAACCATGAAAGCCCTACCTAAAAAAAATCTATCCAATTCCATTTGTTCAATGAAATAAATCCTTTTAGTGAAAAATCATAAGAAGACAGACATTTCCAGCAATGAAAAATAAAATATAGACATTTACTACATATAAATATAATTAGCATAAGTGATATTTGATAAATACATTTGGTAAGTTACTCCAAACAGTGGCTAGTAGGAGCTATTGGAGAACAAGCTCCAAGAACTATTGTCCTCTCCCTATTTAACTGTGTTCTCTGCCTTAATACAACAAACATATAAAACACAATCCATACTTTGCAAAGCAACTGATCATTGATAATTTTCATATACAGTAGACACGAGAGGGAATAACATCTTCCACAGTGTTTCATCGTCAGCGATGAGATTCGGATTGCCTCTTTAGTATTCAACATTTCCACAGAAACCTGTGAATGGCCAGTTCATAGGGCAACTCTGCACTCGAGAAAGGCTGCCGAAATACAGACTATAGCTCTTACACACTCGCTCTCGAGGATCACATTTGACTTGAACCCTCCCTCCCCAGCTCTCCCACTTCAGAAGTGGACAGTTCTGTGGACGCCGCACTTTCTTGCTCATGGCACTGCCTGCGATGCCTGAGCCGATTAGTCATTCCTCATCCCTATGGCAGATCTCAGGAATCTCTGCTGGCATCTCTCCCATCAGGCAGGTTGGGGGTCCCTCCGAAAGGGGAGGGGGAGGACCATCTGCATGCCTGTGCTAAGGTGCGGAATGCCTTGCCTGGGTGCAAGGATCCCGGCTGCTTGTCCGTGGCAGCACACGTCCCCTAGCTAAGCGCACAGCAAGGCAGCGTTCAAGAGGCAAGACACCCGGCAGGAGGAGCGAAGTCTTACCTTCAGCCAGGAGGCGCATTGCATGAACAAAGGACGGGTCCAGGCTGTCCTTCTCTGCCATCAGCTCGGGCAAATATTTCTCCTGCTCCATAGTACCGCTGCCGCTCTGCACTTGGGACCGGCCGCCGCTGTCCTAGGTGCTGCTTGGCTGCAGTGGCGTGGTGGCTTGGCCGCCTCTGGCTGTGGTCTAATTCCCGCCCCCGCTCCGCGCACCTGGGCTCCCTCCGCTCCGCTGGCAGGCGGCTGGCCCCAACTCCAGCGGAGGTGCCCTGCCCTGTGCTGCCCCTCACAGCCCCCGCTGGCTCCGCGCCTGCCTCTGCCCCTTCTACTGAGCTACAGCCCGGTCCCCGCGGCCTTAACTAGAGAGGCGGGAAGAAGGGGCCCCCCACCTCCCCACCTCGCTCATTGGTGGCTGCGCGCTGGAGGGCGGAGACCCGCAAGGCGGCGGTGAGCTGCTGCTGGCTC